AATTTTGGCGCCGGAGCTTGCTTGGGTGCCGAGTTGAAATACCCGGACAGACGCACACACACGCACTCACACACACACGCACACACACACACTCACACACACACACACACACACACACCGGGATCGTCGCTATATGCGTTTTCGCATTTGCATATTATGCAAAAACGCATAAAAAATGCAAATTTCAAAGAAGTCACAAAATGGATACGAAGTCTGCAAAATGTACTCGCTTTTGAGTTTGCGATTAAATTGAGTATTTGTCGTGTCTGCATGCAGAGAATTTCAACTGCAAGCTGAGTTTAGACTACACGTGAATACAGAATACTTCTGCAAAATTTCAGTTTCACAGCTTCTTCAATAATCAAAATAGCCGCATCGCTACAAATATCTTCGAAGCGCCCTAAGTTTTGGCGCTTCAAAGATATTTGTAGCGAAGCAGCTAAGTTGTGTTGCAAGTCAAAACTCAATTTGGGTACACAATTTTCCACGTTGTCGAAAAATGTCCCGAAAAAGATCCCAGCGACTGTTTTACGGCAAATTTTCGAATTGGCGTATTGCGAATTGCGAACTTTGACTTGATCGTATGCGTAGTATAAATGCGCACTAGAGCTAGATTTGAAGTCTTTAGCTGATAAATGCAGAGAAAATATCCCCGCAAATTTTCAGCTTTTTATCTTGTCTCGTTCACGAAATCGTTTCCCGCCGAAAGAATTTGTATGTTTTTTTCGTGCGTCCGCATAAGAGATCAAGGCGCGTGTGAGTGATGATTTTAAAACGGGAAGGTAACACTTGGGATTGGGAATATAAACCGATAATTCCAGCCTCACAGTTTTCCTGGTTGCTGAGTTACAAGTGGGTAACAAAGTTCACTCAATTCCGAACATATTACATACGGGCGACCTCTGACAATATGCGTTTTTGCACGCTGTAGGAAAAACGTATAAGAATCACTTTTTATTGTAATTCACACGGGATTTTACTAAGACGTTGTTGTTACCTTCCTCGCATTCTCTTGAAAGACGACGCCCCTCGACTTCGCCTGCTGCTCTGGAACCGGGATTGTGATTGGAGGCACTGCTTGCGAAGACTGCTGCAGTTGCGGGGGCATTTGTGAGGGCAATAGTGAATTCGGTGGTGAGGTGTGAAGAAAATTTGATGGTACCAGCCCGCGAATACCGTTTAGTTCGCCCATGTAGAAGCCATCCTCGTCCATTTCTCCGTACACGGTGATCACATCACCGGCATGAAATGACAACTCGACCTGTGAACTCTACTGTTGAACACATTCGCCACGAAGCTGGATTTACATAGTAGTACTGCTACTGGAGTATCACATATAAACGAATTGCTGCGGTGTATATAAGTATATAATGACAAAGAAGATAACGAATATTCTAAGATATTTAGAGATGGTGAGGCTAAGAAATTCAGATCCGCTTCCTCTTAGTTCTTTGTCTACATCCACTTTGCGCTAAGTAAGCATAAATTTAAAGTGTTACAGTTCCTAGTGTGATTCTCTAATCACGCAGCTGCAGTCTTTCCCGTTGCTTTGAGTAACCCTGCATCGTCTGATGGTCAGCCTGGCTACCCGACTGTTTGTTTGGTTCCCCTCTCAGGTCTTTGCTCGTTCTTCATCTTTGCAAAAGAGCTCTGTTATTGAGAGCAAGTGTATGACTTAAAACTTCAGTTGAAGTTACAGCGCTGGCAAAACCAAGTTAAAGCCTAATGTGGTTCCGTTTTAACCGAATAAGACGGTAATCTTTTATTGCCATTTCAACTGCAATCAGTATTTTTGTTACTCACAGTTTAATATTTTTTTAAATGTTTGCTTCGGTTATGCTCTTGTTTGGTAAGCAGTCCAAAATTGGCGACTTTTGACACAAGTTGACGATGTTTAGCAAACGCTAGTTATTTCTCGAGAAGACTTTAGCGCCAGTTCACCAGCAGACTGACTACAACACTGATCAAAGCAACTATGAAAGCGAAAAGTAGCTACTTGCATGGACGAAAGACCACACTATAAAATTAAAAAATGTTTTAGCAATTAAAAACTTTGGATACGATCCATTACCTTTTTTCCAAACGCAATAATTTTCATAATCTTGATTTCATACTTATTATTTCCTGTGATGCTTTTTGAATTTATTGTCCTTCACACTGAGTTGCGAATGTTTTTGAGTACCTCGGATACATACCATTTCGCATTTTCAAAATCTTTGATCTGCATATTTTTGGCCTGATTACATTAATAGGTTGCTTTACCTGTTCGGCATCCACATTCGGGCTCAACTGTCGCGAATCATAATCAAATTTGGCGACAAATTTCCGTATGGGAATGTCAACACCACCACCACCGCCTCCATTCGTTCTGCCGTGCCTAAAATTCTACGTGAAAGAGCAGAAGCAGTTTAGACGACGCATTACTTAATTAATCTTAACAAATGTTATCAGGACTGCTTCGCATCGAAACTTTACTGGAACAGTAGTTTCTTGTCTTCGCTGAGTTAAAACGCAACGAAGCTTTTCGATTATTACCTTAGATCCTCAACGGATGTAGTAGCTTCGGGCGGAAAGTGTCCTTGAGCACCAGTGGATGC